GACGTACAAAAATAACTTGACCTTCTACAAAATAGAATAAGAGTGATGTTTCATATAAAAAAATGATCAATTAGTATAACCTCAAGAATATTGTGAGATTGGTACTTTAGCAGCAATCGGGAGTCAGTCCCTGTTTATTTTTTATTTTAGATACGGGTTTGAGAAAAAAAAATCTTATAGTATTCTCTTTGTTACTTGTTTTAAATCATCAACTAGTAATTTTGTAAAATCCGACAAAGATTCACTAAACAAAAACTGGAGAACAATTTGGAACTTGAGGAAAACCGATCACCAAAACATGATTTATCTTTCTTTGCTTATTTCTATATTACAAAATAAATTACTGTGGTATTCAAAGGTTTGCATGTAATATTTCTAATTGTTCTACATTGAACCACTGACTAAAATCGTGATTTTTGATATTTGTGTTTTTCACCGGTAATTAGTTTTAAGCTCTGTATGTTTTTTTATTATGTTATTTTAACCCCTTCTGAATTTGAGCGTATTGTATAAGATTCAAATATAACTAAATAATGGTTACATATGTATATATACATATATCTACTATAGTTGTTGTTTACAGTTGGTATTAAAGTGTTATTTATTTTGTGCTTTTTTCAACGTATCTCTTCGTCTTTGTCGTTTAATGTTGGCACATTTGTTTCAAATATTTCTAAATGCTGTTTTAATTTGGATTTAGTTTGTAGTCGACTCCTGGTTTCAATACACTCGGGGTAGAGAATGTTTTCATAAAATGTGACTTAACGTTGTCTTTGGTCAGTTCAAAGATTTAATATACGCTACGTTACATGAAATGTGTATGGGTCAGTTTCGGAGGCTACAAAGTTGTTTAAAGTAATATAATAGACGTGTAAAAAAAAGGAATAAACTTGTGTCGAGTTGGCAATTGAAAAAATGTTTTTGTACTTGGCCAATATAAGCCTGAAAAGATGTTTTTGTATTTGGCCAATATAAGCCTGAAAAGAGGGTTTTGTATTTGACCAATATAAGCCTGAAAAGATGTTTTTGTATTTGACCAATATAAGCCTGAAAAGATGTTTTTGTATTTGGCCAATATAAGCCTGAAAAGAGGGTTTTGTATTGGGCCAATATAAGCCTGAAAAGATGTTTTTGTATTGAGCCAATATATGCCTGAAAAGATGTTTTTGTATTGGGCCAATATAAGCCTGAAAAGATGTTTTTGTATTGAGCCAATATATGCCTGAAAAGATGTTTTTGTATTGGGCCAATATAAGCCTGAAAAGATGTTTTTATATCTGGATAATATAGGCATGAAAAGAAGTTTTTGTATTGAATATTTAGAATAGAGTTTAAATAAAGGAGGTAGTTCCCCACCATTGAGCTGGGTTTTTGGTTGTTGCCTGGGATAGTGTTTAGCTATGTTTTATAGTATATGCTTTTCATCATAGTAGTTCTTAATGATACAATGTATTGATGGGAGGAGAAAGAAGTTGTGAAAGATTAGAGGCAAGTTCAAGGATTTGCTTTTGATTTGTTTGTTTGTATCTTTATTTAGCATTTAATTAATTGCATGTCTGTGTTTTTCTTTATCTGGGTTTGAGTAAACAAAATAAAAAAAACAGCATTCTTCGATCGTCTTGTAATAATTAGCCAGAATTTCCTGTATAGACTGAAAGTTAGATAAAACTTAAAAATAACCTAACTTATAAACAGGGTTTTTGAAGTACCAATTAAAGACAATTCCTGTTATTAATCTAATGTAATATATCTTAAATTTTTTTTTTGTTTCGGCGACGCAAAGCTGAACCCTTTTTAAAGAGAAACGAACGGCGTTATAAGTATATTCTCCACGTTATGCTAACTACAAGATGTGACCTGATTAACCAGCAAGGGTATGATTTTCTTTAAAATAATTATGAGTTAAGAAAATATCTGAGATGAGAAAGTAGAAGAATTATCAATTAGATATCATGCTGCAGTTGTTTTTATTCATTTGTAAATTATCTTTAAAAATGTCTTAGTATTGTTTATTTTATTTTATAAAGATAGTTATATTTAAATTGTTTTGCTATTACATGGTTGTTGCTTTCCTCTGTTTAACTTTTTATAACAGTGCCCTTTTCTTTAGAATTTTGCATCCAACAATGTACTTAAAACAATTCTTCTTATATTTTGTTGCGAAGTGAAACGTTAAAAGCCGGCGAATCAAAGCAACAAACATGACAGAGCAAACACTTAGTGAGCGCATTTGCCTTTAAGTGTTATATGAGTGAGAGAATGGGAAGTTCTTGTCGTGTTGTTGAACTTTACGATGTGTCGCGTAGCAGTTATTAAAATTTGTCATTGTTTCCAATTTATTTTTATATTTTTCTCGTGACATTTTTTTAACTTATTGCTTAAGGTTTCGCTTTCATTTCATTGGATGCAATCTAGTACATAGAGTTGCGGGTTTGAATCTCTGTCACACCAAACATACTTGCCCTTTCAGCCGTGGGGGCGTTATAATGTGACGATCAATCCTACTATTCGTTGGTAAAAGAGTAGCCAAAGAGTTGGCGGTAGGTGGTGATGACTAGCTGCCTTTCCTCTAGTTTTACACTGCTAAATTAGGGACGGCTAGCGCAGATAGCCATCGTATAGCTTTGCGCGAAATTCAAAACAAACAATGACTACTTTTAATGAAATAGCAGCATTAATTGTCTCTTTTATAACGCGTAAACAGTTGAAAGGTCAATAGTTGAAAGTGAAAGGCCAATGTCCTTGGAATTTGCTTGTTTGTTTTTAAATTTCGCGCCAAAAAAGAATTCACATAGCTTTCAGATATGCATTTTAGATCATAAAAATATATTAGTTATTAAAATAGAATGTTCTAAAACTACTATCATTTATTTGGCTTTTTAAGTCATAGCGTGTGAGTCTTGTTTTGGAGCTACAAATATGCATACGAGAGAAAACCAAACCATCTGTGTTTACTAAGACATTTATCAGGCTCCCGGATATTTTTCTCATAATGTAGAGTCAACAGAAGCATTTATTTTGTGCATGCCCGGCATGGCCAGGTGGTTAAGGCGCTCGACTCACAATCTGAGGGTCGCGGGTTCGAATCCGTATTCCACCAAACATGCTCGCCCTTTCAGTCGTGGGGGCGTTATAATGTGACGGTCAATCCCACTATTCGTTGGTAAAAGAGTAGCCCAAGAGTTGGCGGTGGGTGGTGATGACTAGCTGCCTTCCCTCTAGTCTTACACTGCTAAATTAGGGACGGCTAGCGCAGATAGCTCTCGTGTAGCTTTGCGTGAAATCCAAAACAAACAAACAAACTTTATAAAAACTTAATTACTTATCACTTGATAACGAGGAACCCACTTTTAAGAAAATAAAAGTTTTGAGACGGCTTGACGGGGTAATGAAAAACTTTGTTATAAATGTACGACGTTTTGACAAGATTATGTTATCCTCAGATACCTGTATATTTATAATAAAGTTTTTTTTCATTACCCAATCAAGCCGTCTCAAAACTTGTAATAACTACTTATCAATAATTCTGAACAAAAAAGTAAGTAACTGTTTGAAGGACGACAGTGTTACAATATAAAAAACGTAACTATTTATCAGTAATACTGACCAAAAATATAAGTAACTGACTGAAGAATCACAGAGTGCTACAACCCTTATAAAATAAATTGATCAGTAATTCTCTCCTAAAACAACCTAACTGTTTGAAGAAACAAAAGTAAAAACTATTAGTTATCAACAATTCTGATCAAAAGCAAGCAAATTCTATGAAGAATAACAGGGTGTTACTATCACTATAAAGGCTTAGATATTCTTGAAGGAAGGAGTCATATAAGTTCTATAGAAAACAGATTTGAAAAATGAGAAAATACCGTAGTTTATATGAAGACGTGGCTCTGTTTGAAGGATGACAAATAATTTCCAAACACTAAGAGTTTTGGATAGCGAGTCAACTTTCAATTTAATTGTAATCCTTTTTCTGAAATTATATTCTCCATTGTCTTTTCACTGTTAGTTGGTAATTTATGAATCGAATGGCTCTTGTTTTTCCTAATACGACAGCTAAAGGATATCCGTGGAAACAACACCAACAGGATAAGGCTGAGTGGCGAATAGAGCCTATTGCTCTCAGTGGATTGACATCATTCGCTTTAGTCATTATTTATATACATTTGATTTCTGTAATAAAAAAACAAATACATCTCTTGACGTCATCTCTTGGCAAACCATTATTTAAGTTACGACCTCTCTCTTTCCAGATACCTTGAGATTCATTTAGTTAAAATACAAAAGACAAATTATTGTGCACGTGGCGGCACGGAACCTCAGAACCGTCAAACCTGAGATTACTTTCAATCCTACGTGTTGTGAACTCGCCTTGAAAGAAGCTTTGACGTTGGTGGTAGTAGTACATGCAATAGTAACGCACGCAGAAACACGACCTTTCCACCTGTTATGAGCTTTGTTGGTGCTTACGTTTCGGTATGTTTTGCACAATGTTATAATCAAGTATTATGTTACATGTAAGAACAGATTGAAGTTAGCTTTTCGACTGATTTGCTTCGTGGTGCGTTCGTCGTTATCATGATATAACGTTACTGAAAATGTGCACAAAAGATACTAATCGAAGTAGTATTCCAGTTTCTCATAGAGGCACGGTACGGTGGCTAAAAATAGCTAAATTTTCTTTATATAATGTACATGCAAAACAACAACTGGAGGTCTTAGGCAAAGCGCGACGAGTATTTAATCTTCAACTTTACATCGTACATAGAATAGCAATATCATCTCTGACAAGATTACGTAGTTAGAAACTTCGGTGAGCTTCATGAGCTCTCTTTAGTACTGGTGAACACGAAGCGTAGCAAACAGGACAGGTGAGCCTGAAAGTGGTCAGCTATTAATCGTAATTAAACAAGGAACTCTTAAAATCCGAGAAAGTTCTTGTGATCATGTGATTCAACGTTTATCCTTGCTTGATTTTCTGTAATACAACTTTGTACTTTAGCAAATGTTTAGTCTGTGCACTGCCAGACTAAAGGGCCGTAAGTCCAATCCAAATATGAGGCGAAAATCTGGCCATTATCGACATCGACCGGCTTTTCGTTGTAAAGATAGAAATCTTTCTACATCCCTCCCCACCCCTTCGTCGACTAATCAGAGGGAAACGAAGAATCCTAAAGAGGATTTACCATTTCCTACAACTGTTCTACTGAGCGACCGGTTCAACCACCCTCCAGCAGCCTCTGTGGACTCTGGCCTCTGTTCAACTCCGTTCTATGTCAGGTAACGTCATCACTTCATTGACATGACTTACAAGTAATTTCACACTTTATCAAAACCCGCTAAAGTCTAATTAGGTGTAATTACAGTTGTTTGTAAATCTAAGCAGTGAATAATTATTACGTAAATGCATATCCTGGAATACTACTGCTTATGTTGTTATTATTTTTGTAATATTTACTTTTTCTCTACAGGAAATGTATCTGCGCTAAAACCGTTGTTAATCTATAATTACTTCCTGCTTCTAATAAAGTCTTTACTTCTATAATATGGTAACGATTACAGATGTGACTCAGATGAAAGTAGAGTGAAACATTTCTTACTGGTGTGAACTACACTGGAAAACACGTATATATATATACCTGGAACATATTCCAGTTCTGGTCACCATTTTCTACCCAAGCATATTATTCCAGCTCGTTTTAGTGAAACAAAACTATTATAACATGTTAAAAACTAAAAAAGTTTTAAAAAACAACTAATATTTTATACACAAATGAATAAAAATGAGATTATTTCCAGTCTCCAAATTACTAAAATAATAACCTTGTACAGTAAGTTATTATTTTAGTAATTTGGAGAC